TAGCGAGACATGGTTGTCCGATGACGCTCCAATCGGATAACGGAACAGCTTTCGTGGGAGAACTTAAAAAAGATCTCATGCGACGTTCGCAGGTGGCTCAGGCTCACTCCACCGCATACCATCCTCAGACGAATGGCTTAGTGGAAAGGCAGAATCGAACGTTAGTGTCGATGCTGAGGGTATATTGTTCCAGGTACTAGATACCTTCCACAGGTGATGGGAGCTTATAACAGCACGCAACACTCCTCTACTGGAGTAAGTCCACACATGATGCTAACTGGACACGAGAAGTCTTTGCCCCTGACTTTCTTCTACCCAGAGTATGAGGGAAAGAAAACGTCACCACAGGTCTATGTAAGGGATGTGATCAGACGTCAGCAAGAGTTGAACGACTTGTGTAGACGAAATTATCAATAGGCGCAGGCAAGGCAGAGGAAAAGATTCGACAAGAAACGAGCTGGTGCAAAAACTTACTCGGTAAGAGACTACGTATGGGTATTTGAGAACGTTATACCACCGAAAGGAACAAAAAAGCTCCTAAAAATGTGGAGGGGACCTTTCATGATTACGGAAGTGCACCAGGAGGGACGCTTTTATAGACTGAGTACTGGTCGAGCCGCTCATTACAAAAACATTAAGCTACACAACCTATCGACAGAAGACTGGTGTATACCTGCAGACATGGAAGAGGGGGATTATCTAATGATGGACCCTGCTTGTGAATTCAACGAGAAGGGCACCAGGGAAAAGAACGATGGGAGCTTATAACAGCACGCAACACTCCTCTACTGGAGTAAGTCCACACATGATGCTAACTGGACACGAGAAGTCTTTGCCCCTGACTTTCTTCTACCCAGAGTATGAGGGAAAGAAAACGTCACCACAGGTCTATGTAAGGGATGTGATTAGACGTCAGCAAGAGTTGAACGACTTGTGTAGACGAAATTATCAATAGGCGCAGGCAAGGCAGAGGAAAAGATTCGACAAGAAACGAGCTGGTGCAAAAACTTACTCGGTAAGAGACTACGTATGGGTATTTGAGAACGTTATACCACCGAAAGGAACAAAAAAGCTCCTAAAAATGTGGAGGGGACCTTTCATGATTACGGAAGTGCACCAGGAGGGACGCTTTTATAGACTGAGTACTGGTCGAGCCGCTCATTACAAAAACATTAAGCTACACAACCTATCGACAGAAGACTGGTGTATACCTGCAGACATGGAAGAGGGGGATTATCTAATGATGGACCCTGCTTGTGAAGTCAACGAGAAGGGCACCAGGGAAAAGAACGATGGAAATCAGCTCGTAGAGGAAGGAACAAGTCCACCACTGGACCTTGATCCCAACGAAGTGATCGAAGCAGATCAAGAAACCTTACCCTACGCAGAGGAGGACTGGCAAGACCCCGACCAAATGCAGGTCCCACAAGTTTGGAACCGGTTCTTCCAATTACGATAGAGACTCGACAGAGTGACAAGACAAGACTCACGAAGAAATCTAATCCTTACGGAGACGACTTCGTAGTGGACAGGATAGATCTAAAAAAGATAATGGAAGACGTAGTGGGTCTAGAATAAATAACTGTGTCACAGGACATTGACATAGTTGATGATCACGACGAGGAGTGGGTCGATGACCGGTCCAAGCCCGTGGTAGAATTCGACGACGAGCAACAGCAGGCATATGAACAAGACTTGACAAATTGCGTGTCTTGGAATGGCTGAACGAAATGACGTCGGACCCAAAGGAGACCAGTAAACGATTCAAGATGTAGATCGTGGAAGCTAGAAATACGTAAAAACCGAAAGGGATGATCCCTCCTGGGCTGCCCAGGAGGGGCAATTACTCATTCCGGCTTCTAACCTCGACTTGATATCCGGTATGCGATCGACGGGGACGTCGATGGATATTTTTGTCCGGGAGTGGGGGTAGGACTTACCCACACTGAAAATTTATTAATAATAAAGTTAAGAATAGCAAGAGAGACAGGTGATTTAGAAGCAGAAACAGCCGAGGACTCTAAGAAACCGGACATATTTTAACTTACCAAATGAATATTCAAGTAGCATAATATTGACAGATAGCGATTTCATACTCACAAATAGAAGATTTTTTTTATCAATGACCTTTTTTGGCTATCAACCAAAAATATATTCTCTTATAGAGGTTTTTGGAGATTTTAACTTTCTAGAATTTCGTCGGGGTGTGTAAGAGGCTTTTTGTGATACAGTTTTTTCATCAATTAATTTGGTAGTCTCAGTGTAATTGCTGAATAACTAAATAAAACCAAAATGACCTTTTTAAGGGAAAAAATCTGGCAAAAAGCTTGACAGGTAACTTTAAAGGATAAACTGCGCCATATCAATTCTGTTGGAAATCCCAGAAAATTTTATCCTATTGATCTTTTGTTTAATCTCCACCAAATTTGAGAAAAAAAACTATTAAAAATTCACATTTTGTTTGTTGTTTCCGGTTATTTTAAATCAGCTTGGAAATTTAAGCAGTAGGAAATTTCGATTTTTGTTGAGAAGCTCAAGAATTGGTGAAAGTTATTTCGTAATCGCAGTACAGTGCTGATTTAAATTAACCGGACTAAACGCGTTAAACTTTAAATTTAAAACGCGTTTTTCTCAAACTGGGTTGAGTTCAGGTGAAAATTTATGAATAAAAAACTAGCTTAAAATTTTAGCAGAATTAATATGGTGTAATTTGTTTTGCAAAATTGGGGCCAAAAATTTTAACCCAAAAATGGGTCATTTTGGCTTTTCTTAGTTAATCAAAAATTACGCCAAAAATACCCGGTCAATCACAGACATAATTATATCAAAGTGCGCCCCTTACCTAGCCCAACAAACTCTAACAAAGGTATATTCTCCAAAACATTGTATAACTTATTTTATTTTTGTTTGATAGACAAAAAAAGTCGTTTTTACTAAATAAAATTTTTAAACGGTTTGCAATTTTTTTTTTTGGTGAATATACCTTTGTTAAAGTTTGTTGGGCTACGTAAGGGGCTCACTTTGATACATTTATGTCTGTGATTGACTGGGTATTTTTGGCGTAATTTTTGATTAACTAAGAAAAGTCAAAATGACCCATTTTTGGGTTAAAATTTTGGGCCAGAGTTTTCAAAAACAAATTACACCATATTAATTCTGCTAAAATTTTAAGCAAGTTTTTTAATCATAAATTTTCACCTAAACTCAACCCTATTTGAGAAAAACGCGTTTTAAATTTCAAGTAGAACGCGTTTTGTCCGGTTAATTTAAATCAGCACTGTAGTCGTAACTAATCCAGCTTTCGAAGAAAACGGAATTTTCAGCGATCCAAATTATAGTTTTTAACAGAAATTTTAATGCCCCATTGATGATATCGACTCCCTGAAATCAAATGTTAGAAAAAAAATAATTTACCTCAGACCATTTTTTGCGAAGTTCTAGGAGTTTGAAAGTTGCCAATTTGACTAAGTTTGTGTCACGATATTCATAATGCTGAAAGCGTAACGCGAATTATTCATGCGTGGCGTATTATCCCGCCCTACAAAATCGTTACAAATTGATTTGAGGCTAGCTAATCGGTCGTATTAATTTTTCACAACTCAATTTTGCACACTTGATCTTTGATATTGCCCAAATATGCCCTTTGAGATTCCAAAGACTATTTGACGTGAATTAAGGGGCAGTCTGAACATTCAGGGCTTTGCCCTGATGTACAAGCAGTCATGTTATAAAACGAAATCAAAGTCTCGGGTATGAACATGAAATAACAAGTTATCAATTTGATATGGAAGAAAATTTTCTTCGGCTTGGGAAAATAAATAAAAATTCCTGCAAAGTGATGGATAATTTTTCAATCAGTCCACACCAACGACGAATCTATTTTGTTCCTCCGCCTCTTATTTGATAGTTTTTCTAACAAACCCATTCTAATCACAAATTTCGTTGACCTTCTATAGAAACTTTATCTCATTCGATTAACACAAAGGCGATTTTCCTACTGTTTCTACTAAATCATGGTTCGGCGGAAAATTCTGAGCATTTGCTCATTCCATTCAAATCATTAACGTTTTTCCACGTTTTCGCTCAAACCATTAAATGTTTGTGTGGAATTGAAGAGGCCAGCAAGACGTCAATGAGACCAGAAGAAAGAGGAAAGTTAAAATTTTTGGCTGATTTTGTGAAAGGCTTGGAATGGATTTTGATCAGCGGCGGATCTAGGATTTTCTCGAGGTTTTCACGTTTTGGAAAAGCCCAAATGCTTTTTTGGGCACTTACTGCAAAATTTTGACCAAAAATTTAGATTTTTTTTGCACAGTCCCTTTCAAAACTAGTATATATTGGCGCCCAATGCGCCTTTAGAACAAATTTAAGGGTTCGTCGGCCAAAAATGTCAAAAAATAATATCAAAGGGGGAACCCTTTGGTTGGTGAGGGCGTCGAATCTCTGGGGCTCTTTGAAACTTCCAATCAAACGGGCTGTGGAATCAAGCGATGTTTTAGCTTTTTCGACCCATCTCATGAAAAAGTTTTTGCCATCAAAGGGGTGGATTAAGGGGGGAGTGGCATAAGGCACGCCTTTGCCATCCAGCCCCCCTAAATTTTCATCCATTTTCATTCTGTTTCTCACTGATTCCTACCTATTCCGGTGAGGGCTGTAACGCGGAACTTCGAACCAGTTGTTAGCTTATAATAAGCCAATTGAAAAAACGTTTGTCTAAATCCTTAGAAATTTGTGGAACGTGTTAATGCAGACGCTCGGTGCCTCTTCTGATCGTTAAATTCAATTGAAATTTGTGGTTTATATTTTGAACTGGGGACAATTCTTCCAACTTGCTTTCGCCTCGGGTGATTTTTAAAAGTGAGATTTATTGTATTTTTGAAATTTCCATAGCGTGTGGGTATTCCTATGCAACGTATAGTCCTGCGGATCAAACACCAGGTAAAATATCACTTTTTCATTTCCTGTTTTTTCTCTCTTTTACACCATACCCTCATATGCTACAACATTGTAATTGCGTTCCAATTTCCACGGTACATCTTAGACGTCTTGAATTCATACGAAAGTAAATTGATCAAATTAAAATGTTAATTCCAGTAATTTTATTTTAAAATTATTCCAATAAATTCATTGTCACAACAGATTCCATTTTTTGTTGAAAACTTCCATATTTTTTATATTCCTAAAGCACTATTTTTGCGCCGATTTTTTTAATTGAAGCTCTTTGAAAGTGATTTTATATACAAAGAAGCTGTGAATTTTTTTCATTTTGGTTCGATTGACAAAAATTACCATTTCTTATTGTTGTTTTTGCAGTTGCTTTCCATTCCTATAGACCGACTACTTACCCATATATTGCATGGTGTGTTTCTGTTTCAACCCCAATAGGAAAGGAAAGCACCTTTACAGCACGTAGCCCTAATCTGAACGCTATAGTCTGCTTTCTCAGCCCCATTTTGTGTATTATTTTAACAACTATAGTTCTAAAACAGGTTAGACCCAAATTATGGCCCTGTTGAGTATCGTATAGATCGCAAATTTGATATAAGACCCAGTTGATAAATCAATTATGAATAGATTCGTCACTGAAGACCCCGTTTGCGGCTTGGACCATATATTTAATATCAAGTCAAAACATCCTTTCTCTCGGAACACTTAATGGGTATTTTACCCGACCCCATCAGGTAAGATTTCGCGTTTGACACAGATATACGAAACTAGGAAAAGGTAATTTGTTATCCTAATTTTCCAAACTGTTATTTGCCCTCTTTGTCTTTGTTCTTAATTTAGCTCTTACATTAATCAAATAAGACGATAAAACGCGTTTTTGCTTTGTTTTGTTTATTGTTATTAATGATTCCAATGCGCAACTTAGTTCAAGAGAATATAATTTAGCAGTTATTTATGGCAACGCCTAATTTATCTCGAACAAACGAAAAATAACTGCAACAAACTGCATATTTGCTGTTGGTGTTTGGCAAAAAGTAAAGTTGAAATTTACTGTTTTTGCCAATTTCCCAATTTCCTTTATTCGGGTCAATTCGAAATCATTTTGTGTAGAAGACATAATTTGAGGGTGAAGCCACTCTTTATTAAAGTTATTGGATAATTGTGCCAAATCTCAATTGTGCATTACTTTTTTCCCTAACCATAAACGTATGTTCAAGTTCTCTGATTGTTAAAAAGAGACTGATTTGATAAGTCTTTTGATGCGTTTTACGGGCACTTAAATATGTTACGGTGGCCAGTCAATAAGAAGATTGTTCTAGATGCATAGATGCATTCTGAAAAAAAAAATTGAAATTTATTGCGCTGCGGTGTGAAATACTCAATTCTAATTAGTTGAAATTTCCAACATAGAATCAAGTTAACGCCATTCCCCCTAAAAGGTTTTAGTAAGAGCCCGCACTCAGTAAAAAGAGAAAATAATCGATTATTTTAAAATTATAAACGCACTTTTGGCAAAAATAAAATTAATTATAAGCGCCAAATTTAGATGTTTAACCGATTTATAATCCATTATAAGGATAAAATTTTTGGTGACATTTTAGTTAGGTATAATCAATTATAATTGATCATAAATTTTCAAAATATCTCTTATAATCTTTATAATCTCTTATAAGCTATTATAATCTATTATAAAATATTATAATCCCTTCTTCTATCAAAATAAAACCTCATGAAAAAAATCAAATTTAATTATTTATAAGTTAGCTAATCTGCATGAAAACACAATAAATACCAATTTTAAATGAAGTTTAAACTGTAAGTCCAAAAATACAGTTTCTTTTAGTTCATCAGTTCACCTTATTCATGCACCTTCAGGTGACAGGTGGAAGAAGGTAGGATGCACCTTCAGGTGATAGGTGGGTAAGTCCAATTGAAGAATCGTATGATGTCGAACCTCTCCTTGTTCGAAAACTCAGGACTTGTGCTCCAATAACTCACCTAGGAAACCAGTTTCAAGTATATCGAAGAAAAAAACTTCAGGTGCCGATCTAGGATTTCTGAGAAGCCTTTTGCCATAGTGCTTCCCGTTTTTTTTTTCGTTTTTGTTTTAACTTTTTCTGACCTGTAAAGTTAAACTTTCTCATGCTGTGCTTTTGATCAAGTCATCGATGAGATATTGGTGTGATTGATAGATATTTTTGCCAAAAAGTTAGACTGATTCAAAGTAGTTTAAATTCATATTTCAAATAGGTAGGATGCACTTTCAGGTGACAGGTGGATATAGGTAAGGTACACCTTCAGATGACAGGTGGGTGTAGGTAGGATGCACCTTCAGGTGGTTGAGACATAAGCAGAAGAATCAAAATGAAAATAAAGATTATGAGAAAATTATTTTTAAAAACTAGCTAACACATCATCCCTCCCACCTAAAAAACAGAACCCTCAGGGTCACACTCACACTCCGACACTCATAGGGACACACATAGGGACACATACCTAGACACTCAAAGGTGAACACATAGGGACATATACTCAGACACTCACAGGGGCACACATAGAACCACATAATCAGACCTTCACAGGGGCACGCATAGGGACTTATATTCAGACAGTCACAGGGGCACACGTAGGGAACCAATAATTGAAAGGTTGAGTAATTTTGAAGACCTTTCCCAGTCATTGAAAGAGGGACAAATGGGTACAAACAGAGGGGACTGCTATCCCATTAAAAAGGATACAGTAATGCCGTTCGGTAAATAATATTAGTTTCAGCCTCAGCTAAAAGGCCGCGACCCTGGCAGACGTTGACTCAACCTTATCAATACTAATGACAAGAAGTTCATTATCAAGTTTTTGCATTTCGAAGCGTTTTTTTGAGGTCGCACTATTTTAATTTCCAGAAAATGTTTTAAAAAACCGAACTGAAAAAAAATGGAATAAAATGATACCAACTAAAATCACATAGAACATTATAATTCAAAACAAAATGAATCGATGACGTTTGTTGAAAAATAATGGACAATAATCCGTTAAAGTGGATTATAATCGATTAAAATGGATTATAACTAAAAAAAAATTGAAAAAAAATTTAAAAAATAATCGATTATAATCAATTATAGTGTTTTCATTTTTGAAAGTTAGTAAGATTATAATCTATTCTAAATCAAATATAATCAATTTTTGATTGAAATTAAAGAGACTGAAAATAAAAATCTATTATTATTTTTTCTTTTCTCTTTTTACTAAGTGCGGGAAGTTTGAGGTTTGTTACTTGAGGTTTCAAGTAAATTTGGTAAGCTTGAAGTAAAGGATGTAAACTTGGTCTTTACTCGAATCTGGTTAACAATCTCCCCCTGCCCTTTTCAAGAAAGGGGGGAGCTTGTTAAGTAGATTACTTGCAAACTTTCGACCAATCAGAAGGCAGAAAAATTCGAATCTACTTACAACGCACTAGAGCAAACTTACTGTTTTTATTTACAGGGTTGGAAATTATTTAGTAGATACATTAGGGGGGGGGGGGGGGGAGAAAGATTGTTAGGTAGATCTCTTTACTCTTATGCGGTCGAAAAGAAAAAACTTTGAATGGTCAAATACAGCTTGAAACTAAGCTGTAGGTTTCCTTTGGTAACAATTAGTGTGAACCAATCACTTTCAAGTATTATGATCACACTTTCAAAACAATAAAACAATGAATTTTTATCGGTATAATAAAAAAAGAATCAAAACTGTTAAAATTACAAATAAAATGAATAAATAGTTTAAAAACTGAGCAATTTTCTTAGGCTTTTTCAAATCTTGATGAACTTTCTCAAAAAATTTCTAATTCAAAAATGAGATTTCTAACACTAGTTTTTGTTTTGCCTGTACAACTTGGAAATGTTTGCCCGATACGTTTTATTGTTTTTTATCGCTTTTAGATCTTTTCTGATGGTAGAACTTTTTGCTGTCCACCACTTCACCTGTTAGACAGAATTTTGGTCAAATTAAAACACTACACGCAAGTGGTGGCCAGCAAGTTTGTTGACTGCTTAATAAACAGGGAACGGAATCATCGGTTGAGTTAAACTCACCTCTCACCTAATGACTCTAAAATTGAAACGACCGATTTAACTTAAAACTGCAATATGTTGTTTTCTGAGTGTTTGCGTTTTCGGCAATATGTTTGCAGTTCTGTTTGCGATTGTGTTTGAGTTAAGAAATTATTGAAGTGAAAATCAGCGCTTAACCGTTTTTTTTTTGGCAACGTATTCAACGAGAAGGTTTCGCACGAGAAAAAGTCCTATGTCAAGCATCATTTTGAAACTGTGAACTTTTGAATCATGTACAGAACGAGCGTTTGCAGCACGCGAAAGCACGGACGACTGTCAGTTTTCCGACCGACAACCGTTTAGAGAAATAGGCGAAAGCTTCAGCTAAATCGAGTTTGCTTTTTTCCAAAATGGATGACCAAGACTTTAGAGCATTTTTGGAAGGCGAGTTCAGTTACGTTTTAACTTCGGCAAAGTAATTTACGGAAGGAAATGTTTAGACGGTGTTAATTCTCAAGAAAAGGCCAATATGATTTCGATTTTGCAGTTACACCTTTATTATCGACGAAACCGAAAACAGAATTTACAAAAACGTGGCTGCAGTTCTGGTTGCAGCAGTTGATTCTCCAGGTAAATCTTATCTTAGTTTGATAGAGATTTAATTAAATCTTGATGTATAGAAAGTTGCTCAGATGTTCAATTTTTTTGGTAGTTTTCCACCGTTGCCAATTATGGCTAGCTGGGGAACTTGGGTGAGATGTCGTTTTTTTCTTGCCATGAACCGAATACTCATTTATGAATGGGTTTAAAACTAAAGAAACTGATGGAATTAATGTGGAAGGTGCCCAGATGAAATTTGCACTGCTTTTTTGCTTGAAAAAGCCATCAATATTCAAGCAAAAATGCAGGCGCTTGGTGTAACAATAGCAAAATTGTTTCTTTTTTGTGAAAGAATAAAAAAAAAAACGCAATTTTCGGCCAAAAAAGATTTCTACGAAATGCTGGCGAAAACCTCGACTAACAACGTTAACGAGAAATGACTGCTTAATTTGTTTTCACTCCTCTCATATCATCGGAAGTGGAACGTTTCTTTAACCCAAGTGTTTGAGCTTTGCAAGAACTCACTATGAAACTATGCATAAACTCTTATTCTACATACAATTTAATTCTTTTTTTATGACCTTTTTCAACTGAACTGCCATTTTTTTTATCACTTTCACTTCAACGGAAGTGGAGCTTTTGTTAAGCCAAGTGAAACCTCGGGACTTAAGCTTCGCAAAAATTTCATTTTGAATTTAAACATAACCTGTTGTTTCTGCGTTTGCTTTATTTCACCTTTTTTGTGACATATTTTGCTACATTTTTCACTTTTATAGGCGCCTACTTCGATAAAAAAAAATTCACTTACCAATCCAGTCCCTGCTAATCAAAAATTGCCAAATTGTTTTCTTTTTATTAGTTATACTGGATGAGATTCACTATCTATGTCACACCTGGGGACGGCGTAATAAGCAGAATGTCTATGAGCAGAAAGGTCCCAAGAAGAGAAAAACCGAAAAAAAAGTTATCTTTTTTCGACTAGTCGTTAATCCATGTATTAGAATTTTCAGACCGCCTCAACCAAAGTTTCGTATTTCCAGACTTTGCAGATCGAGGCAATGTGTCCGCGATCGGCACGACCGAAAAAAGTTAACCGTGACCGGCGCGACCGAAAAAAGTTAACCGCGACTGGCGCTACCAAAGGAATGTTAACCGCGACCGGCGCGACCGAAGGAAAGTTCGTGATAGTGGTCAAAAAATTCGTCACGGCGGTCAAACAATTTGTTGCGATGGTCAAACACTTCGTCGCGGCGGTCGAATAATTTAGTCGCGGCCTAGTCTAAAAAAATTAGTCTTGGCGGTCGGAAAATTAGTCGAAGCTGTCGAAAAAAAAGTTGTGGCGGTCGAGTAATCGGGGCCTGGTCTAAAATTTGATCCAGACGGAAAAAAAAATAGTCGCGATGGTCAAAAAATTAGTCGCACCGGTCGGAAAAATTGTCGCTGCGGTCGAAACGTAAATGTCGGCGGTTGAAAATTGAGTCGCAGCTGTCGAAACATTAATAGCGGCAGTCGAAAAAATAAACGCGGCATGGTCGGAAAAATGTCGCGGTGATCAAAAAATTAGTGGCGGAGGCCGAAATTGGCTCGGGAATAGTGAAAAATGGTTGCGGAAGACAAAAAGTTAGTCGCGGCGGTCGAGTAAAAAGTCGCGGCCTAGTCTGAAAGTTAGTCAAGACCGTCGACAAATTAGTTGCGATGGTCGAGAAATTAGTCGCGGCGGTCGGAAAAACAGTCGCGTTGGTCAAAATAAGTCGCGGCGGTCGAATAATTAGTTGCCGCCTAGTCTAAAAATGAGTCGCGACGGTCGGAAAATTATTTGCGGTGGTCAAATACTTACACGCGGCATTGTCGAAAAATGGCTCAGGAATAGTAGAAAAAGGGCGCGGTAGTCGAAAAATCAGTCGCGGCGGTCGAAAACTGATTTGCGGCATGGTCGAAACATTGATCGCGGCATTCAAAAATTTAGTAGGGGCATGGTCAAAAAATTGTCGCGGCGATCAAAAAATTCGTCGCCGAGGCCAAAAAATGGCCCGTAAAGGCTTAAAAAATGGTCGCGGTAGTCAAAAAATTGGTCGCGGTAGTCAAAAAGTTAGTCGCGGCGGTCAAAAAATCAGCTGCGGCATGGTTGAAACTTTAACCGCGATGGTCAAAAAATCAGTCGCGGTGGTCGAAAAATTAATTGCGGACTATTCTAAAAATGAGTCGCGACGGTGGGAAATTTAGTCGGGGTGGTCGAATACTTACACGCGGCAAATTGGCCAGGGAATGGTAAAAAAAGGTCGCGGTAGTCGAAAAATTAGTCGCGGCGGTCGAAAACTGAGTCGCGGCATAGTCGAAACATTAATCGCGGCATTCAAAAATTTATTCGTGGCATGGTCAAAAATTTGACGCGGCGATCAAAAAATTGGTCGCCGAGGCCGAAAAATCGCCCGTAAAGGCTTTAAAATTAGTCGCCATGGTCAAAAATTAGTCGCTGCGGTCAAGTAACTAGTCGCGGCTGTCAAAATGTAGATCTCGGCGTCGGCGATCAGAAAATTAGTCGCGCTGGTCAAAAACTTAGTCGCGGCGGTCAAAAAATTAGCTGCGGCATGGTTGAAAATTTAACCGTGAAGGTCAAAAAAATGGCCCGTAAAGGCCTAAAATTGGTCGCGGTAGTCGAAAAATTAGTCGCGGAGGTCAAGTAACTAGTCGCGGCTGTCGAAATGTAGGTCTCGAATTCGGCGGTCAGAAAATTTGTCGCGGTGGTCAAAAACTTAGTCGAGGCGGTCAAAAAATTAGCTGCGGCCTGGTTGAAGTTTTAACCGCGACGGTAAAAAATTAGTCGCGGTGGTCGAAAAATTAGTTGCGGACTAGTCTAAAAATGAGTCGCGACGGTGGGAAATTTAGCCGCGGTGGTCGAAAACTTACACGTGGCATTGTCGCAAATTGGCCAAAGAATGGTAAAAAAAAAGGTCGCGGTAGTCAAAAAATTAGTCGCGGTGGTCGAAAACTGAGTCGCGCCATGGTCGAAACAATAATCGCGGCATTCAGAAATTTAGTCGGGGCATGGTCAAAAAAAGTCGCGGCGATCAAAAAATTGGTCGCCGAGGCCAAAAAATGGCCCGTAAAGGCTTAAAAAATGGTCGCGGCGGTCAAGTAACTAGTCGCGGCTGTCGAAATGTCAAAGAATTAGTCGAGACTGTTTAAAAATAAGTCGGGACGGTCGCAAAATTAGACACGACGGTCAAAAAATTCGTGTCGGTGGTCAAAAAAATTAGTCGCAGCATGGTTGAAAATTTAATCGCGACGGTCAAAAAATTAGTCGCGATGGTCAAAAATTAGTCGCGGTGGTCGAGTAACTAGTCGCGGCTGTCGAAATGTAGTTCTCGGCGTCGGCGTTTAGAAAATTAGTCTCGCTGGTCGAAAAATTAGTCGCGGTGGTCAAAAAATTAGCTGCGGCGTGGTTGAAAATTTAATCGTGATGGTCAAAAAATTAGTCGCGGTGACCAAAAAATTAGTCGCGGTGGTCGAAAAATTAGTTGCGGCCTAGTCTAAAAATGAGTCGCGACGGTGGGAAATTTAGTCGCGGTGGTCGAATACTTACACGCGGCATTGTCGGAAATTGGCCCAGGAATGGTAAAAAAAAGGTCGCGGTAGTCAAAAAATTAGTCGTGGCGGTCGAAAACTGAGTCGCGGCATGGTCGAAACATTAATCGCGGCATTCAAAAATTTAGTGTGGGCATGGTCAAAAAATTGTCGCGGAGATAATAAAACTGCTCACCGAGGCCAAAAAATGGCCCGTAAAGGCTTAAAAAATAGTCGCGGTAGTACAAAAATTGGTCGCGGCGGTCGAGTAACTAGTTGCGGCTGTCCAAATGTAAAACTCGGCGTCGGCGGTCAAAAAATTAGTCGCGCTGGTCAAAAACTTTGTCGCGATGGTCAAAAAATGGTCGCGGCGGTCAAGTAACTAGTCGCGGCTGTCGAAATGTCAAAGAATTAGTCGAGACTGTTTAAAAATAAGTCGGGACGGTCGCAAAATTAGACACGACGGTCAAAAAATTCGTGTCGGTGGTCAAAAAAATTAGTCGCAGCATGGTTGAAAATTTAATCGCGACGGTCAAAAAATTAGTCGCGATGGTCAAAAATTAGTCGCGGTGGTCGAGTAACTAGTCGCGGCTGTCGAAATGTAGTTCTCGGCGTCGGCGTTTAGAAAATTAGTCTCGCTGGTCGAAAAATTAGTCGCGGTGGTCAAAAAATTAGCTGCGGCGTGGTTGAAAATTTAATCGTGATGGTCAAAAAATTAGTCGCGGTGACCAAAAAATTAGTCGCGGTGGTCGAAAAATTAGTTGCGGCCTAGTCTAAAAATGAGTCGCGACGGTGGGAAATTTAGTCGCGGTGGTCGCATACTTACACGCGGCATTGTCGGAAATTGGCCCAGGAATGGTAAAAAAAAGGTCGCGGTAGTCAAAAAATTAGTCGTGGCGGTCGAAAACTGAGTCGCGGCATGGTCGAAACATTAATCGCGGCATTCAAAAATTTAGTGTGGGCATGGTCAAAAAATTGTCGCGGAGATAATAAAACTGCTCACCGAGGCCAAAAAATGGCCCGTAAAGGCTTAAAAAATAGTCGCGGTAGTACAAAAATTGGTCGCGGCGGTCGAGTAACTAGTTGCGGCTGTCCAAATGTAAAACTCGGCGTCGGCGGTCAAAAAATTAGTCGCGCTGGTCAAAAACTTTGTCGCGATGGTCAAAAAATTAGTCGCGGTGGTCAAAAAATTGGTCGCGGTGGTCGAGTAACTATTCGCGGTTGTCGAAATGTAAATCTCGGCGTCGGCGGTCAGAAAATTACTCGCGCTGGTCGAAAACTGAGTCGCGGCGGTCGAAAAATTAGCTGTTGCATGGTTGAAAATTCAATCGCGACGGTCAGAAAATTAGTCGCGGTGGCCAAAAAATTAGTTGCGGTGGTCAAAAAGTAGTCCCGGCCTAGTGGAAAAATTAGTCGCGACGGTCAAAAATTAGTCACGGTGGTCAAAAAATTAGTAGTGATTGTCA